ACTTCTGTCTTTGTTATTGTGCTTGTCTGAGACACTTCTGTCTTTGTTATTGTGCTTGTCTGAGACACTTCTGTCTTTGTTATTTTTGTTATTGTGCTTGTCTGAGACACTTCTGTCTTTGTTATTGTGCTTGTCTGAGACACTTCTGTCTTTGTCGTTGTGCTTGTCTTGTTTGTATAGTAAGACTTTTTCGGCGCTCACAACTCCATAAGGTCATATGAGCGCGCAAAACACAATTTGGATGCATTCACAACAGTTAATAGCATGGCTTTATTTTGGTCAATGATCAGATTAAAATGTACAAAATTCATGGTAAAAGTCTCAATCTAAAAATGAACATTTACATGATACTAAAATAACAGTATATTGTATTTTGTTTTGTAAAGGCCAATGGCCTATATTAAATAGAGAATTCTGTTAGGATCAACAATGGAGAACAGATATTTTAATTTTGTACATTAAAAATATTTTCTTTGGGTCTTTCCATGTGCTTGTCTGCGACATTTCTGTCTTTGTGTGGGTGATTGGCGGGTGTGCTGGTGTGGTTTGCTCTTTCTTTCCTATCAAACATCTATCCTCCTTATCTCCCCTCCTTTTGTTTTTTTGTTTTTAACTCTCTTGTAACTCCTCTAATCTTCTGCACTTATATGACGTTATTTTGTAGCAAGTGCCTTAAAACACTTACTAAAACAAAAAATGTGCTCTTAGAAGGGTAGAGTTTATTTTGAGGTTATAGTTTTGCATACAATTACCCTAGAGAGTTGGTTTAGTAAGTGATGAAATAAAATGTTTGCTTGGTTGTTTTATTTGCTGTAGCTTTTACAAATTTACCAAGCCAAGCTCAACTACTTTGGGTGGACCAACTTGATTGAGTGGATCGTCTATGTGACTGCCCTGCTTCTGGTGATCAGCTTCAATGACTGTCAGAGGGAAACAGGATATCGCTACGTAAGTTGTGATGTTTTTTGCTTGAGCTGTGCAAGACCTGAGTTAAGTTAGACTTGGGGGGGGGGGGGGGGGAAGCCTCCTTGTTGCTGACCTAATTACTTTAACTGCCATATTTTTCCATGTGAACTGCAAGAGACAAACTCTGCATATAAAGTATAAATGATATGCTCTTAAAGCATGAGAAAAGCTTAAAAATTTTTTTTTTATTTGGGCATAAGATCACTTATGTTTTTTTTTACTAACTACCGAATTTTTAAAAAATTAAGAAATTAATTAATAATTTTTCTAATGAAGAAAAAAAAGAAAAAGAAAAGATTTTAAAATGTTCTACTTTTGTCACACTAACAGCTGGTATGAACAAAATTTTTATTCAATTTTATCTTTATTCATATAAGACCCAGCCAGGTGTACTCTCAGCTGATCCCCAATTAGTACGGAAATATTGTCCAAAATCTCATGGACATTCTTTGTGGATTTTCAGGGCATTTACACTTGTGGGGATTATATTCTGTATCCAGTTTGTTTCTAAACACAGCTTTGTGACATGACTGAGTGGAGTTTAGGCGACTTTTCCCCCCCGAACCCTAAAGACTTCTTTTTTGTAGGCTTTGTAGGTCTGGACTTACTTTTGAAAAAATGTGTCGGTTGTCTAGTGGCTAGGTTCTCGGACTCTCAACTGTGAGGTTGTGCGTTTGAATACTGTCAGGCGTGTAACGTTGTGTCTACGGGAAAAGGTACCCGGCTATAGACAGTGAGAGATCTTATTATACGTTTTTTATTAGTATTGTAGTGTGTGTAATCCCCAGCTTGCACTGTATACTTTTCAGGAAGCCGAGAATGTTTGCGAGTGTTGTAGGGTATGCTGAGGTAAAAATGGTTGTAAACTGCATTGAACGTTTCGTAGAGTGCGGATATGTGCTATATAAAAGCTATTATTAAGTATTTTTTCTTTTCTTTGCTCCTGTGTGGTTTGCTCCCTCTTTCCTCTCAAACATCTATCGTCCTTATCTCCCCTCCTTTTTTGTGTATGTTACTCTCTTGAAGCGGGTGCTCTGGTGTGGTTTGCTTCTTCTTTCCTATCAAACATCTATCGTCCTTATCTACCCTTCTTCTTTTTTATGTTTGTTACTCTCTTGTAACACCTCTAATCTTCTGGCGCTCATATGGCCTTATGCAGTTGCAAGCGCCGTAAAACTTCTTACTAAAAAAAAACCTCTCTTGTAACATATAATCTATTCTTTGGCACTTATATTACCTTATTGTGTTGCAAGTGCCGTAAAACTCTTAACTAAAACTAAACTTCTTTTTTTTCTCTTGCCGCCTGGTACAGGTGTGGCAGTGGCACCTGGGAGCTATCTCAGTGTTCTTGGCCTGGATGGACCTGGTGCTGTTCATCCAGAAGTTTCCCCAGTTCGGCATCTACGTGGTCATGTTCACAGACATCCTCAGGACCTTCTCCCAGTTCTTCATCGTATTCTTTCTCTTCATCATTGCCTTTGCTCTCGCCTTCTACTCGCTCTTTCAAAACCAGGTTTGTGCTTTTTTTTAGATCTTTTTATTTGATGGTAGTAGTAATAATAATAATAGTAATGATAATGATAATTATGACAACAGTAATAATAATAATGCTAATAATGAATTACATTTTATTTATCCATATGGGGAGATTTTGGTTTCAATGGGAAACATACGTACATAATCATAAATACATACATACATACATAAACACCTACACGAATAAATACATAGATACACAACATAACTCCACATACATGCATAAACACCTACACGAATAAATACATAGATACACAACATAACTCCACATACATGCCATTGCTGGTCTCCACTGTGCAGTGGCCTGGTTTGTTTTGTTTTTTTAAAGTAAGGGTTGTTGTGTCTCGCTCAAGGACACATACCAGTGACCACCTATCTAAACCGCGGGTCACTGACACTATTCACTTACCCACTGGAGCTCAGTCATAGTTTTGTGTACCTACTATAAATGTTTCACTTACCCAGCAATTTTTTTTTCTTTAAAAAAAAAAATCCCCTGCCCATTTATATGAGATAGGCGCCCTCTGATTAGTAGAAAAAAAGTGTGTATGATAGTGTCCAGTAGTGTATTACGTGCATACTTAGTATAATAAGTAACCGTAATAGCAGATAGAGATTCCAGGATTATAGATATAAATCATTGATCTGAGAGCGGTGATGATTTTAGATATAATGGTGGTGATCAGTGATGATGTGGGATTGCGTTTAAGTAATGTTAGTGTTAGTCCTATCTTCCTCTGCTCCAGTGAGTCACGAGGGATGTGGGAACCCTCTATCCCGTTCCCTACTGGAACCGTCTTTACGTTCACCGTTCACTTACCCAGCAATATTGTGACCAAAACTGAGTCGATGGTGCGATAAAACACCCTCTCAAACAAACGAACAAAAAACCAAACAATATTGAGTTTGGGTGATTTTGTGAGCGGGCTGCTCTGACCTCATGTAGGGTGAATGTTGGTTGTTTGGAATACTGGCCATATTGTCAGATGGACAGGGTGGGTGGTTGGCGGGTGCTCTGGTGTGGTTTGCTTCTTCTTTCCTATCAAACATCTACCGTCCTTATCATCCCCTTCTTTTTTATGTTCGTTACTCTCTTGTAACACCTCTTATCTTCTGGTGCTCAGATGACCTTATGCAGTTGCGAGCGCCGTAAAACCTCTACTAGAACTAAAAAAGATGGACAGGGTTCCCGTGGCCTCCTTGAATTCAAGGAAAAATCACCTTGAAAACTCCTTGAATTTGCATTCAAGGAAAAATCACCTTGAAAACTCCTTGGATTTGAGGAACTCCTTGAAAACTCCTTGAATTTTTCCAGATCGCACAAGAAACAGAGTTTTTGTAGGAAAATCGAAACCATAATTCCTTTCGGACAAGTGTAGGCCTATTGGAAATAGGCTATCGTCATGAATTTCTTCACCAAATCTCCTTGAATTTTTAAAATTTCTCCTTGAAACCTCCTTGAAATATCCTTGAATTTTGTTGGAAGTTCATGGCAGGAACCCTGGATGGAGATGCTTGATAAGATATAAAGGGTGCTGCACAGTGGCGACCAGCAATGGCATGGTTGGGAAATTTTGCTGTATTGGTGTAGTATTGTGTATTTATGTATGTATGTATTTATAATTATGTATTTATGTATGTATGTATGTCTGCCGTTGTAAACCGAATTGCCCTTCTGGGATCAATAAAGATGTAATTTTACTTTGTAATCTGTATTGGTGTAGTATTGTATATTTATGTATGTATGTATAAATTATAATTATGTATTTATGTATGCATGTATGTATGTTTGCTGTTGTAAACCGAAAAACCCTTCTGGGATCGATAAAGTTGTAATTTTATTTTGTAATTTATTTTATATACTGTCACACTTTTAATTAACAGTCGCTCAAGATCTCAGAGAAAAGTGAGTGTTAAAGACATGTTTGCTATGGACGGGGTCAAAGGTGTGTTCACTTACTGACTTGATAACAAATAGTTTAAAGTCTGAAATTTTAATTTTTATCACTCCGTTTAATTTACATCAAAATTTATATCTATCATGAGAGTGTACTTTGAATTGACAGAACATACACACTGAGTCTGAGGATGGGTTTGCGGAAATCTTTTGTAGCGAGTGACCGCTATGAGCTGGTTTTGAGGCTGACTCATCGCGAAAATAACCATCTGTGTCTGTGTTGGACAGGGGCCGATATGGACAGGTTAAAAATATAGGGAAAAATGCTAGGGTGTCCATGAACAGTGGCAGTTAATGTGACTGTGTTGGAGAGGTGACAGTTCACTCTTTAAACCCCATTGGACGCTGGGAGCGTCTGATACTAGTGTCGTTTCATTTAGTGCCAGTTTGTGGCTGTTTTTGCTTGCTTATCAGAACTATTCCCGAACTTAGATTTTTAGTAATGACTAAGCCTGTTGTTCTGCCATTTAGAGGTTGGAGGCAAACTTTTAGGGTTATAATGAGACATAGTGCACCAGGTTTAGGTGACTGTAAAAAAACTCCGGGAAATGGTGGGAAAAACTCAGCGTTTAAAAAGTTAAGGTAGGTTTGACTGTATTCTTGTACTGATTCTGTGCCCCCAATGACACACTTTTCTTAGCAGGTCATTGAAAGAAGATACGCAGTCAGTCGATCGTAGTTTGAGATAGTGAATTGTCAAACTGAAAAGTAATACTAATGATATGGATGGTACAGACAAATGAAACATTTGCTACCCCCCCCTGTCTCCCTCTCTCTCTCTCCCT